TAGCATAAAAAGGTGGCTCTTTCAAAAAATTTTATGGTAAAAAAAATAACCTGAAATTAAACATTTTTTACCTAAACTTTAATCTAACATTATTTGTGGAAAAGAAGGACACACATATATATAACGATGCAGTATATATGTTTTATCAAATAATAAAACATTCTTTATCTTAAAAAGAAATAAGTAAACCCCAAAAAAATTGTTTTTTGTTTTCAAAATTTTTAGCGCACGTTATTTATAATAGTAGAACTCTAAATTTTTTGTGGGTGATAGGTTTCCAGCGTTGCCACACAAAAAGTAAAAAACAATTATGGTTGGGTGCCAGTAAGTGAGATATAATAGCATCGGCTCTTTCAAAACCTAGCTCTTTCATACACACTCTTCCCTATATTCAAGCAAAGCATACATGGCCGTCAACGCCGGGGAGGCTAGGGGGTCATGTCTTTCTCTACTTTTTTTTGTGAGGACCTTTTGTTTTAGAAATATAGGCAATTATTTTAGAAATTTTGAATTTTATTTTAGAAATTGAGGGGTTGACCCCCTCCACTTTAAAGGCCGTGTCGATACTTTTAGCATAAGACTATTTAAATCACGCTTTAAGTAGCAAATCACTATTTTAGTCTATAAAATAAAAACTGTACATGTACCGATAAAATAATTATATTAATTGTTGGTATTACATAGTAGAACACTCATGTAACCGTTATTTTAAAAATAGTGACCGAGTTTCAAAAAAATCGGTAACGCTTTGAGGTATAAGTAGCAAAAAACTGACAAAAACTTTAATTAAAACTGCAATAAATCCTACACCAGTCATCCAATCAGGCTAAAATTTTGTCCAGAGTTTGGTGTGACTATTGGCTACATTTGCATCAAATTATATTGAGTGTTTCAAATTCTACAAGTGTTTTTATTGGCGCACTATAAAGTCAAAGTTTAACTTAATTTGAACATTCAAATTAAATTACTTTCCTCGGACAAAGTTAAATGATTTCAAAATTTGCATCACCGGGTACCTTGATGTGTACGCTAACTTTCCGTATAAGTGGCGTTCTTGGAACAGCTAGGTAGGCATTATAAGGAACCGTACTAACCGTAGTGTGTTAATACTGATGAAAATATCTGTTAAAAAATGCAAAAGATCAAATGTAGCGTTCCCCAAGGTTCCATTCTAGCTCCTTTACTTTTTTTAATATACATTAATTATCTTACAAAAGCCTCAAACTTATTATTTTGCTAAAATCTAATAAATTATCTTTAAACACAGAAAAAACTAATTACATCTTATTCCATCCCCCAAAAAAAGAAAAAAACTACCAAATATGTTACCATTGCTAAAAATAGAAAACAAAAGTATCGAAAGAACCATATTAACTAAATTTCTAGGTTTACTTATTGATGAAAATATTCCATGGAAAGCACATATTGACTATTTAAATATTAAAATAACCAAAAACATTGGCGTGCTATGTAAAGCTATACCAATGTTATCCCAAGAACTAACCATAAATCCAATTTGAAATCACTTTATCGACATCAGAAACATGTCGATAGAATTGTCTATAAAAAAACTCACTCATGCTGAACCTTTGTTAATACTCCTTAATGCACTAAACGTCTATAGAACTAACATTTACCAAAACTTACTGTTTATGCTAAAATATAAACTTGGGCTTGTCCCATCACATTTCTTAAATGAATTCTTTAAAAGCAATAGAAATAGATATGACACTAGAGAAGTAGGAAACTTTAATATACTGTTCAGAAAAACAAAACTATCGCCTTTCACAATTTCAATTCGCGTCCCTACCTCTATAATAAACTATAATAAATCGGTGACTATCTCTATAATAAACTGATATCCAAAAATACCATAATTACAAAATTAGATAACATAAATTGTTTGAAATTCTTACTAAAAAAATTCGTTCTAAATATAAACAATTATTTGAACTTACACTAAACTAAAACTGAAACAAGAACCAAAATTAGCATTGAAAACAAAATTCCAAAAAACTTCAATAATGTATATTTACATAAAAATATCATTATAAATCAGTAATGATTATATTTATGCCTAATATTATATTTATGTGTATAATGTATACTGCAAACAGCATTTATCAACTTCTTTTCTTTTCTTTTTTTTATTATTTTACTATGTCATAGCTGCTTCAATTGATCCAAGATATAAGTTTTCTTTCTTTAAGGATGATATCAAAAAACAGGCTAAGTACTGGTTAATAAATGAAATTTTATCCTTTGAAAAAACTCTTGTTTGTTTTGAAGAAGTAGATTTTAGTGTAAATGAAGAACCATCTCAATTAAATTTTTCAATTAATACTGAAAAAGAAGACACTCTTGAAGCATGTTTCAAAGAAATTATAAATGCAACATCTGAAAAAACATTACCTTTTAAAAAATTAAAGTTAGAGAAAAAATCAAATGAGATTTTGATTTGAAAAGAAATAAAAAAGTTTTATTCTGAACCACTTGTAGACAGAAAACTCTGTCCAATAAAGACCTGGATGCAAGAAGAACGATTCCCTCTTTTAAAAACAACTGCTTCAAAACATCTATGCACTCCTGCATCATCCATATTTTCTGAAAGATTGTTCTCAGAATATGGTAATATCTATGAGAAAAAGAGGTCTAGGTTATTGCCTAAAACAGGAGAAATGTTGTTGTTTATTCACCATAATGGGAGAAAAATAGAATGACTCTTTGCATTTACTCATTTGTTGAAATTTTATTTGTTATGTTCTTTGATATTATTATTAACTTTCTAAAACATTTTGTTTCATTGAATTTAATAATTTGATTTAAGAGGCATTCATAAAGTATGTATGCAGGTATGGGAGGCGACATTATCTAAAAATGTTTAAATATTATCTAAAAGTGTACAAGTGTTTATAAGGGGTAGGGACAAGAGGGCAAATATGCAAAGTAAGGGCAAGGTCCAGGCAGCAAATATGTACATGGTTGGGCCATCTTTTTCATGAATTTTACTCCAAAATATTTTTCAAGATTTTTATTTTAAACAAAGACAATTTATTGAGTGAAAAAATCTATAACAAAATATCAAAAAAAAAAAAAAAAAAAAGTTTATGATGAAATTTTAAAAAAATATAATAAAAGCAAAAAAAAAATTTAAATATTAAAAAAAAAAAAGTTTTTTTTTGATTATTTTGATAGAAAATTTTTTTGCAAAACAAATTCTTTAAATGCTCAATTTCGATCATTTTAAATCTTAAAAAAATTGTTGGAAAGTTATGACTGTGTTTTTACCCCTATCCAAATTGAAGGGGTAATAAATTAAACATGGTCATAACTTTGGAACATAAATTAATTGATGAAATTTAAAACCTATTGATGAATTTAGCTTGAGTATTAGATAGTGTAATGAAATAACTAAATGATTTCCCTTGCATTTGGGAAAAGTGGTTCAGAAAATAACCTCTAAGGTTATTTTTGTTCCCAAGCTCTAATTACCATGATTTTTTGAAGCAAAACACTTTCATTCTATGGAAGCATAAAAAACTTAAGTTTAGAGTTTGCACAAAGCTTGATAATATCATATCTTTGACTTTTAAAAACATCATGTTAGAGCCCATTTGGCAGCGTGTCGGTAAACCATTTTGATTTAGAGTTCTCAAAATTAAATTTCTACTTAAAAGATAAATTACCCTCCCCTAAAAACATGTATTTATTAAATAATTTTTAATAGTTTTTCAAACCTCTTTGTGCTCTGGGAAGTTTAAATTGAAGATAGGCTTGTGACCATTAATTGATCATAAGTGATCGTAAGATAGTGATCATTAAGTGATACGTAATTACAATAGCGATCATTAAAACATTTAACGCTCGCTGTTTGGAATCAAATTTTTAGTTGAAGACTTGTTCAAACGCCCTTCATAATAACACCAGAACTTAACAGCATAAAGTATTATCCGGTATATCCGGCCGGATTAGTATATATCCGGCCGGATACCGGATAGTAAATTATCCGGTATTTTTAACCGGATATCCGGCCAGATATCGTATCCGTTACACCTCTACATTTTATCAGTTGAATATAATAATATAATTTTTGAAAAGATTTAAAGATTTAAACATTCTTCCAGAAATTACCAAGTTGTCTGGGTGGTATGAGCACTTTTGCTACTTTTTTAAAAACCCTGTATTTTTAAGAAAAAGTTTCGGGTGCCCATATATAATAATATAAGTGGATCATGAGTAGTGATCACTAAAAATTGTTCATTCACAAAAATTTTGGATCTAGCATAGTTACGTTTAAAAATGTTCCTTCTTTCTCTTGAGGTGCTCATACTTTCCTAATCTAACCTAAATTAGCAATTTTTTGGCAAAAATGTGAAAATCAGTGTGTCCGCAAGCTTCTAATTAAATCTTTTAATTGGTATATTATATGTTATATTTAATGAATTAGATGCTGATATAATAGTAAAATTTAATCTTATTTAGCTTGTCCGAAAATTTGTGTATTTATATGAAGGAGACAATAGTATAATAAACAAGGATATTAACGGATGTATTAAAAGAAGTATTAAAGATAAATAAATAAAAAGAAGTATTAAAATGTTTAAAACAACACGCATGCGCATATGAATAAATAGAGGCATTTTCTGCATACTCCCAAACACAATTTTATTTCTTTTCATTTTTGTAGCCATTGCTTTTTTTTTTAATTATTTCTTTTTTTGATAAGGGCAACAACATAAGCAATTTTTTATATTTCTAATATATTAAAAATCGGTTTTACCGTTGGACATGAACGTAAAGTTATTCAAAAATACTTTCGCCTTAAATAAACATGCGTTGTGAAGTTAAACAAGATTAATTTTTGAATGGCGTTCATGTCATCAATTGTAAAATTAAAATAATATAAAGAATCCAAAGCAAAACAAAAAAAATTTTAACTATAAATTAGTAAAAAAGTAAACTAAAACGATATATGGAACATAATATTTTTATATAATTACCTTTGATTGTATCCCAAATGAGTAAACTTTCAAAATAAGTAATCAGTTTATTTAAATCTTTTACAATTTTTTAACTTCTGTACAAAAATTTTAAAGCCTCAACAAAAAAACACAATATTTTTTAACAATTTTTTTTTTATTCTTCATAATCACCAACCTTCACAAAAAAACCACACTTACGACAAAAATGTTTTTAATGACGACATTAAACCTTGAAGGACTGTAAACAAAACGCGTCACATAATAAAGTTTTCTATAAACCTAATTTTAACTGTTTTTATATAAATATTTATATATAACTTTTTTTAAAGCAATCATATTTATTAAAAATATATTATTTCGACAAAATGTAAACTTTGATTGTAGTTAGAAATAACCAAGTTAATTAATTAGACATTGTTTATTTTTTATATTATTGATTTATTCATTTTATTTCAACTAAAACATTACTAACATATTTTACATATTAACTGCTGTTATGAAACTTTATTTTAAAATCAAGCTTAGTGATATATCAACAAAAGTCTTCTTTTTGCCCCGGTCATGTAAATCTTTTATTTATGTACTTTTTAATTGTAAATATTATAAACTATTATTTCGCATATATATATATATATATATATATATATATATATATATATATATATATATATATATATATATATATATATATATATATATATATATATATAATTAAAAAAAATTAGCTTCTACAAAAATAAGTATCAAACTTGAAAAATCATAATTTTTATTTTTTTTTGTTTGAGGAGAAAATCCTGGATCATTAATGGAAGTTAAACTAAAATGTTTTTATGAAAAAAATGTTAAATTTACTTTTTTTTTTTTAATTAAAAACTAATTGGAACCATAAGTTATTTTTATTTCATTTATTATTTATTATTCCTATAGCCTGGGGGGTCTTAACAACAACAATTAACAGCTACTTGATTTTTTTTAACTGCTACTTATTGTAACTTTATCTCAAAAATTTAAAAAACAATGCGTCAGTGTGGTGAAATTGATAAGCGTGGTACATGTGTACCACAAACGCATTAAATTAGTCTGCACAATTTAGTGATATTGCAACCGCTATTATTCGATTTTAATGTTTGAAAAAACAAGAATTAATTATATCTTAACCCACTTTTCCTACCCTTTTTTGGGAGAGCCTACGCTTTTTTTTAAGGATTTTTATGCCTTCATACTCGGAATACTCGAAACACTCGGAACACTCGCATTTTTTTCATTTTAACTTTTTATCTTGGTTTAACTGTTTCATATTATTCATTTATTTTTTTAATTTATTTTATTTTGCTATTTATAAATAAACTACACTTTCATTTATTAAAAAATAAAATTACAAATATATAAATAATAAACAGATAGGGGCTAAAAGAAGATATGGAAAGCAAAATAGAAACCTAATCTGTCATAAAGATGATAGAACCCTTACGGAAAATTTCCATGGAAAATCTATAAAAAAAAACCCATGGAAAAATCATGGAATTTTTATATAGGTAAATGGAACACGTTTTCATGGAAAAACCATGAAAAAACAATGGATTATCTGTGGAAAACCCATAAGTTTTCCAAGAAAAACCCATGAGTTTTTCATGGAAATCCATGATTTTTTCATGGGAAAGTGTTCTAAATACCCATGGAAATTTTATGATTTTCATCTATGGAAAAACCAATATTAATTTCTTTTAATCTTATTATTGAATAAAACCAATAAAAAAATTTAAATCTTGTTGAATCCTAAAATCTTTGAAAAATAATAGCTATAATGCACCTAAAACATTAAAACTAGCTTTATCACAATATTTAATCCATGCATATTTATAAACATACTGATAATAAATAAAACAAATAACTACAAGTAATATCATATTGTAAATAATTACATGTAATTTCATACTTAGTGATAAATAATTAAGGAAATAATTTTTACAAAAAATATAACAATTTACATGTTTAATATTTTATATTAGGCACTTCAGTCCATTTTATGATCTCGTAATAAAATTAAGTTGAAATATTAATTTTAATTTCATTTCATTCAAAATTTTAATCTTGTTTCAAAATGGGTTTATCCAATTTTGTAGCACCTATGGTTGTCAAGAAATTTTCATTTTAATACTACCTAATTTGACATTTTTTTAGACAAAAATATGCGCTCTTTCTTTTCAGTTTTTTTTTAACATTTATTTTTTACCATCAAAACTGCATAAATATTTTACGCAACGAGTTTAGGCACTAATCTATCTATTATCATTAAACAATATACAAATAAAACAACTTTGAGTTCACAAATAAACTTTAGAAGACTAGAAAAAATATATATACATTATAGATTAATATAAACGATTTGTATGTATGTATGTATATATATATATATATTTATATATATACATATATATATATATATATATATATATATATATATATATATATATATATATATATATATATATATATATATATATATATATATATATATATATATATATATATATATATATATATTATAGATTAATAAGACTAATTATATAATAATAATAATATATTTATACATAAAATTTATTATAATTTATAACATATTTAATATATTTCTAACATAATATTACTAATAATATATATAATAACTATATATGATACGTTATAATAACTATAAACCCTATAGATATAAATATTATAGATTATTATACACTAATAGTTTATAATAGTATTATGTAATTTACAATATAATTCTATATGATATCACTTATCATATATATAATAACTATATATGATACATTAAAATAAATATAAAAAATATAGATATTATAAATATTATGGATTAATATATACTAGTAAGTTATAATAATATTATATAATTTATAATATATTTCTACTATAATAATACATAAAATATATATAATAATTATATACGATACGTTATAATGACTATAAACAATATATATATTATAAATATTATGGATTAATATATACAAATATATTATAATAATATCATATAATTTATATATTTCTACTATAATAATACAAATAATATATATAATAACTATATACAATATTTTATAATAACTAAAAACAATATAGGTATATATATTTTGGATTAATATATACAACTAATTTACAATATATATAATATATTTATAATATAATATTACAAGCAATATATATAACTAGTATTTATTTCAAATAAATTGTAAAATAGGCTTTTCACAGAACTATAATCTTTCTTTTTTCAAGGTCAACAAGCAATAGAAAAGTCCATACTTGATTTTCTTTAGTCTCATAGACCACATTAAACAAAGTTTTTTTAAGTTAGGAGTTAACTTGTTTACTCGAAGAACTTCACCAGTACACCAAAAGTATTTTTTAATGTCGATTTTCACTATTTTATGTTGAATAAATTTCTCAACAAGATAATTAACATCATTTAGAATAATAGGCATGATGTTTATTTTTTGTTGATTTGCTAATTGAGACAGTCTTGCACTCTTTAATTTTTCACTTTACTCTTCTTTCTGTTTTGCAATCAAAATATCTCGTTCTTTTCTTTCAATAAGAATAACTCTTCTCTCGATGGGCTCTGGAAAAATCCTTGTTCTAATAACTGATTGTAAATTCCTGAACAACACAGTTTGTTAAGTCTATTTGCTTACTACCAAGCATTTTAGTTTTGTAAAAATATTTAGGTTCACATTTAACTTCCATTACATACCTATAAAAATCCAACTGTGCTCTTAATATTTTTTTGTTTTTAAATGTGTCAACTAACAAAACATATTCATAATCTGCTTCTTTTGAGGTCAACCACACCTTCGTCCCCAAATTTAACAACTCATTAACCAATTTAGCTTTTTTGAAGCAGGCTTTATCTTCAGCAGCTTTTTTAGCTTTATGCTTTTCAGACAATTTTTCACTCATTTCAAACTTTAATTCTAAATGGGGTTGTTTGTATTTATCTTTCATTTTACTAAAGTTTGTTGAAGCATTTTTTAGCAATGATACACATTCACCTAAAGTCTTTTTATCCAACCAGTCTAGTGTTTTGTTTTTATACTTCATAATATAAGCTTGTATAGTTTGTATTTTGGCATTAGGCTTTGTACAAACTAAAAGATCCAATACTGCAAAGTGTAATTTCTAAAATGTCACATATATTATCTAATGTCTTTGTTAATGCATTCATCAATGCCAGCAATTTCACATAGTCTAAAAGATAAAGTACTTCCGTTTTTGGTAGTAACTTAGAAATTTTGAAAATGTCTATGATGTTTAGTGGTATCGTCACTATGAAGACAATTGCCCGAATTATTTTCTACAGTGTTTATCATTTCTTCTGCAACTTGAAGTTGAGCAAGTGCTAATGCCTAAGTTATAAATCAAGATTTTGTACCAATTGAGGGAAGCTTTTCTATATCTACCTTATTATTTTTTTACTTTACTAATTTATTATTTTTTTTACTTTACTGTTTGAAACATAACAAATATAATAAATATGTAATTTATTAAGTATAGTAATGAAAAAACATAAAAAAATTTAGATTATGTTGATAAACTAATATGTTTTTACTTAAGACGACCACTTCATATTAGTTAAATATAAACAAATAAAATTAATTGTATTATGATAAATAATAGCTCATTATTTATAAACATCGCTTTTATATGCTTTTATTTAACTGTAAAGTAAAATCTTATTTGTTCTTGGAACATTATTATAAGTTGAATCCCAAAGAATATGCTTATATCTTTTCTCGTTAATTTAAACTCAATTCACCATTTTATTTAGACAGCATTTAAACTATTTTTAAAAATATTAAATGCATTTAAAAACTAATGTTATAAATGATATAAATGATGAACAGCATTAATTATATTGCCAGTCAAACCTGTCGGCTTATAATGTAGTAATTTAAATAAAATAATAAAGTAAAAGGATTCATACACAAAATATTGCATTATTTACTTATTCTAATAACTCTGCTATAGCAGAGTTGTTTTTGTTTTTTCTTCACTATTAAATATATTTGATAGTAAAGAAAAAACTAGATGTAGTCGCTAACTAATTCGATTTTAGTTTTGTTAAGTTGAATGATCGCGTCAATAAAAAGACAAAAACAACTTAACTGAACTAAAATTGAATAAAGCATT